CGGCAGTGTACCAAACGAGTAGACGTCGGCCGACGTGTTGTAAAATGTGCCAAGGATGATCTCGGGCGCCATCCACTGGTGGGTGCCAATGCAGCTCGTCAGCACATCGTCATCGTCGTCACAGCCCCGTGCGACGCCAAAGTCGGTGAGCTTCGTGCCCTTGACCGAGTCGAGAAGGACGTTGCGCGACTTGAGGTCGCGGTGGATGATTGGCGGGTCGCAGCTGTGAAGGTAAACGAGACCCTGGACAACGCGACCAATCGAGTCGAGCTTGGCGTCCCACGCAAAGGCCGCGGACGACTGTCGGCCGAGGTACGAGCGGAGGTCGCCTTGGTCCATGTACTCGGTCACGCACTCGACGTCAATGGGCCGGCGCCAGCTCGCGCCGACGAAAGCGACGATGCAGTCGTGGTCGAGGCTATCGCAAATCAAAGTGAAAATGATGGACAAAAGTGTCTGCGCACCTGGCGACAAGCTTGATTTCGTCGATAAAGCCGGCGACATGCTTCTTGCTTCGGCTCTTGACGCGCTTGATAGCGACGAGCTGCGTCTTGTACCGACCGAGCCAGACTTCGCCAAACGCACCTGCGCCGAGCGGCCGCTGCGAGACTGTCGTGAGCTCGTGCAGCGCAAGCTTGTACGGCCGAAGCGCGGCAATGTCGAGCTCGGGACCAGCCTCACGTTGGCCAAGGGCGCGCTGTGGGCGTCGGCGGCGTGGCTGCGACTGCGTGCGCGCATCCGTAGCCGTATCCTGCGTGTGCTCGAGGTAGCCGTCATGCAATGCCGGTGCTCGTCGATGGTGCCGGCGCCAGAAAAGCAGCAGAGCACCAAGGACGATCAGCAAGACACCGAGAGTGGCGCCAATGCCGCAGTACACACCAAACCCTAACGTAGCGGTCTCGAGTCTTGGAATAGATGGAAGACGGTAGTACGAAAGTCTGCGTTGGCGTTCATCGGCAGCGAGGGGGCCGCTGTGGGTGCGTCTAAGACTATCCAGCAAAGTGTATGGACGAGACGATCAAGTACCTGGCACCACGCAGGCGTTGAT